AATCCTGGTCATGCGAGAGACATGCTTATCTAGTAGCTCTACTTATACTACTGTCGACATGTCCAATGATAATAATTATCGAACATTATTTCGACTGTTGCCACGTGTCACTACTGGACAGTGGATTTAGATCGTCACGCGTCGCACGGGCGAGCGTTACTTAACTCTGTGGGTTTGAGCGGTTAGACTTAACCATAGCCCAAACGTCACATACGTGCAAACTTCGTCCTAGTCGGCCATAGGTCCTAGAGCCTTACCCGTTTTCTTCAAAATACATGCACTGTCAAGCCTTAAAACTTCTCAAAACAGTCGGGGCCTAAAGCGTTAGTCAACCTTGACGTACAAGCCAATCCTGGACGTACATTCCATCTTGACCCAAAGATCTCAACCGTCGCTTCTGCCCCCGTCGATCTCGAACTGTCATCAATCGTAAGCCGTTCAACGTAAGCCGTCGATTCACATACATTCATGAACTATCAAACCCAATTCGTCAATGCTAAACCGTTCATATCAAGCAGTTATTCTTGAAGCTTTAATTCCGGACCGTCGATTTTAAAACTCTCGCAGTCTGGCGCTGGCACTCTTGATTCTCTTCTCCACCAATGGGCTGACCAACGGCGGCGGGCAGATGTCTCTTTCGGACGCCAACGGACAGGTCCTTGATTACCTGACGTACGCATCGTACGGAAGCACGCCACGCACCAACGGCTCAACCGTGGGGCCCGCGATCGGCCTCACTCCGTAAGCCATTCAATCATCTTAATCCTTTCCATTCTGATCAGCGGGCAGCTTGGGACACGTCTCTAACTCAGGACCCGAACTAAGTACAGTCTTTAATTGACTTTCTGAACGCTCCCGACTAAAATTCCTCTTTTTGAGAGCATATGCGCCTGTAAGAATCCTTTCCAAACGATAAGAATAATCTCGTCTGGAACTAGGTCTCCTTTTTCAGATTGATATTGGACTCAGTCGATCCTCCCTGCCCGTGCTATAACCGTACCTGAAACCGCCCGTCTCAATTCGCTGAGGGAAGAACAAGACGTTGCCAGATAAGATAAGACCTGACTCTACGCAACCGAAGTCGACGGCTTTTTGTAACTGAGAAAACATTTAGAACCCTCTGCTTTTCACGGAAGGCTCCGCCGGAGAATGCCTCCTAGTTCTGGATGATGTGATTCGCAGCGGTCATCTAATGGTGTCAGGGATTTCTGAACCTCATGTTGTGGGTCTCCAGTTGCTGTTTGAGTCTGGCAACGAGTCTGCTAGCTTGTGAGTACAGATAAGCCACGTCGATCCTTTTGAAAAGGTTAGGACTTGTCGGCAGTATTTAGTGGCGTCCGACTGCCACGTGGGAATACTGAAGACGCGCGAGAAGATACTCATGCACCCCTCTGCCAGTCAGGGGGGCCGCTTTCAAACGGGGCCGCTTCCAAAAACCTGAAAGCGCTTGCTAGATACTTATGCACACCGTAGGCAACACATCCTCCGGGCAGAAAGGGCGAGTCATGGGCAGCGTCAAATTCCAAATAAGTGATCGCCACACATTTCAGCCGTACGGCCGGAGACCACTCCAAAAGTTTCCAAGCCACGGTGACGTCATTCACTTCGCTTCAGCAGATCGGCCGGAGGCCGCTCCAAATTTTCCAAGCCACGCTGACGTCATTCGCTCCGCTTCCGTCCGCAGTAATATCATCACCACCCAGGAGAACGGCATCAGCGGCCCCGTCGGCGTTTCGGTGCAGCGCACGGGGCCCTCCACGTGGAGCACATCCGTTGGCGCAAACACCTTCGGCCCTACTTATCAAAACTACTTCACGACCCAAAATACCGCCGGAGTGGCCACGTGTCGCCTTCTCCCGGACGGTAGCATCGTCTACACCGCCGGGGGGGGCTCTGGCTGCTCCCCTTCGCAGATGGGAGCCTTTTCCTCGCCGGTTACTCAACCCCCCCTAAACGCAGCAGGACCCAGGCTTCTCGGACCGGGGGTGTTGCCGGATGCGACCACGAGAGCAGCTCTTATCGCAGCATCTGGTAAGAGCTTCAACCCGCTGTTTCGAGAAGTGGGCTTGTCATGGATCTGACGCTTACTCGCTGGAATTAGAGAAAATTTTGTTAGGGTCACGCTGTCCACGGTATGGTACTGCAAGCTAATCTGAACAGTCGCGCTTACGCGAAGCCCATCGAGAGCAGTCATCAAAGGCCGGTGATCAGCGTAAGTGTCGACGCGGCTTCAAATGAAGATGTCCGAACTTTCCCCGCGGCATATAGCTGTGATAATGACCTCGTCCCGCTCGTCGATTAGAGTCGCTCGTTATTTTGTACGCGGTATCATATCGTTTCGGACCCACCCTCCCTTACGCCCCCCTCCTGCGAAAGTGCTTCGATGAGCACGTGTTTTTCCCAAATGTCACATATGTAACCATTTTGTAACAAAGTCAGTACCGAGCTGTCGCAATCGACCCCGGGGTTTCAGAAAAGGGGGAAGTGGCGATGCAGACTGGATCACTCTATTAAGCCTGGTTCGGCCCGTCGAAAGCTGTTTTCAGTGATTCGAAACCTGAAACCGCAGACTCCCGTTTTCGACGGGTTTGGAGGTTCGATGCCCCGGAAATCTTTTTTTTTGGCCTTAAACCCTGAACCTCTGCACGTGCCTGCCCGGTCGAGGTTGCGACCTCGTACCCGCGGCCGGCAGAGCGGAAACAGCGCGGCCAGCAGCAACTAGATCGAGTCAAACCTGCCGGTCACGTGCACGGCAAGGCTCGCGGCCTCGATATACCGAAATTACTAGGTATATCCGTTTGATGCTCAACATTATGGACTTATGAGTGAGAACTTTCACGATTTATAAGAGCACCAAGAGGTACAGGTCGTTACGAACCGACTCGAAGGGCTTCCAAAGTTGATCTCCTTTGGAATTTTCCGCCTTTTGTAAACGGGTCGTAAACCGAGCGATTGCAGCATTTTGCTGCCTACATTTTTTCTTCATTTCTTTTCTATATGACAATGACAATTTGTGATGTCATTTATGTGTCGCAGGCTACAGAGGCGGAGGCTCGACGGTAAGCCAACCACCGCCTCTGGCAAACCCGCCCCCGAAACAACCCCCTCCAATGAACCCACCTCCTGCTTTGCCCCCCCCCTTAAACCCGCCCCCAAAGCAACCCCCTCCAATGAACCCACCTCCTGTAGTGAATCCACCTCCTGC